CTTAATACACATAACCTTATTCATCCCTACAACAGGAAATACTTTTTCCCTAACCTGATATGAAGTGTGCGCTGCACATGTGAGCATTTTTGATGATGGCCTCCGTCCAGTCCTTTGGTCTTATCACATTTAACCATAGCTGTCTTTGTTTTTGTTGACGGGCAGTGGCGGCTGGTTTTGAGCCATGACTCCTTCTATTCTGGCTCCCAATAACACAACAAGACAAACACATTTTAAGACTCCTATGTAGCCTACAGCCCTGTGGTGGAGAGTCGTGTTTTGTCTCCAGCTAACAAACTGACATCATTGTGACTTCGGCTCTTAAAGGGTCTATAAAGAGAACTAGGCACAGAGTTGGAGGTAGTGCCCTGTTTAATCCTATAAAAACATGCTCAGTGGTGCATGAAGCCAAAAATGTTAGACCTCCCAGGTATAAGATGTGTCTTCTGCACTGTTGGGACCATAGTGCAAGGGCACTCGATGCGTACGCCAGCTGAGGGGCTGACTTCCGGTTTAGCCCTCTGCTAACTTGAATGGTTTTAACAATCCAGACTCCTGCTGATGAGGATCGTGTGATATGATCAAAAGCGTCAGAGCAGCTACCAAATGGACCTTGTAATGAGAAGCTAATAAACATGTTAGGCTGAAGACCTCACAAACCAAGCCTGCGTTATCATTCTCTACCTCTGTCAGCATGCCATCACAGTATGCTACATTTACATCATACCAGATTTACTCTAAACACAAGCAGCCATCTGGGAGGAACTGTTGTACAAGTGGGGTGTGCACTTCTGACATTTCCCTCTTGGTTTTACATCTGCTTCGTGAAGACACTCAATTAGCTTATCAAAGAAGTTGTTGTGTTCACAAAGAAGTGCAAATAATTGATTTCATGACTAATAAACCCAGGCTGTAAATACAATATCATCCAGTTTTTCTGGTTCCTCTGATATGATGTGAACATGCCTTTGAGTTTCAGCCTTGATGAAACAGTCTATAGTGTTAAACTGTGTGCTTAAGTGCCTGTCTGCTGTCTATGATTGATTATAGACACCACAAATTTTCAGCTTGACTAAACACTGTAAAGTTAAAGTCACAAAAGTTGAACCCGGTAACAGATTTAAAAAGCTGTCCTTTGTTCTTGTTAACATTCTCCTGTCATCTGTTCCAGGTATTTACGCGGGATCTTACTGTCAAGATGGATGACAACAAGATGGAGATTAATCACGTAAAAGACTATGAGGTGGCAAAGTAAATGAGAGGTTAGCAGAGCGGGTGTGACGAAGAAGTCACTGTTTTCAGTCCCCGTCAGGAGACAAATATAGAAAAAGAAAGTGACAATCGTTCTTACCAATAAAATGGACGCCAGAAAAGACTGTGGTTGTGCTGGGAAGCTGCCAGTGTTGAACTATATCACAGGTGTGGCTGGAAAACAGCACTCAACTAATACACATCCAGAGACTTCTGAACTGACTCTGACTAAAGAATAACTTGGTGGTTATTTTGGGAGTTCTGGTTTGTTGATTCGACATTATTAAAAAAAAAGGTTGGGGATGGAATGTTTAATGGTTTGTAGGATATTATATTTAATGGTTTTTACTTGACTTTCTGGTCTTAGTATGATTGCAAATTCATTCATACATTGAAAATATTGGATTTACATTTTTGTAAATGTACTTGTGTTCCAATCACTGTGAAAAATAAAGGTTAAATGTTTTGCTTTGAAGTGTGTTTGAAGTGTCACAATATTTAGCTTTGAAGACACTATAGTTTTGTTTTGATATGGTGAACAATGTCCAGAAGACGATATTGTTTGCAGGGAACATGGTACCCTCAAAATTTAGAACAGGCTTACCCCTCCAAATAAGAACTGAAGGTATTAGATTCTTGGCGTGCTTTCACACCTGCCCTGTTTGGTTCGGTCCAGTCAACTCAAGTTCATTTGCCCCCTAAGTGCGGTTCGTTTGGGCACCAAAACAACCAGACCAAGACCTTCTTGAAGAGGTGGTCTCAGTCCGGTTACAAACGAACTCTGGCGCAGTTCGTTTGTGGTGAGAACGTGTTCCGACCTGGATCTGAATCAACTGCAGTCACATGACACATTGTTTGGGTTAAACATGAGCATGTTACAGTCCTGGAGGATTATTAATGTGCACCTCCTCCTGTACTGCCTTAATATGCACATTCAGCACATCCAATGCATCAAAACATTGTTTTCTAGTTGGAGCCGCGCCTCGTTTTCAAACTGTATGCTTTGACTAAAATGAACAATGACAGCAATATAGTCCACGATGAGCAGCGCTAAAATCAACCTGCGTAGTTGTCCCTCCATTGTGACATTAGAAAGTGTCACATTTATCTTGCAAGTGTACTCTTCTTCAACGTTTGCTTTACTTCCTGGATTTTTCCCACATGGAAATTCTGACCAATCAAGAGCAGCTTTCTCACACAAGGCATTTGATCTGGTCCTCTTGTAAATGCTGCCGTGAGAACACGAACCAACTCTAGGCAATTATACAACTTTGTAACAAAATAAGTCCCTGATTCAGACCAAAGAAAGACAGCTCGAGGTCTGAAAGCACCCTAATATTGACAAAATAAAAAATGCACTAATTGGTGCAAGAAACGTGACTATAAAACCGAAAATCAAGTGTTTGGCACTCAAAATTTATATAAATTTATATATTTAATTTTATGTAAGTTACTATATAAATTTTGTTTTTGTTTTTGATACATGGGTGCAGATCCCGGGGGGGACGGGGGGACATGTCCCCCCCAAATTCTAAAAAACACAAGTTGTCCCCCCCAATTCTAAATAGCTTAAATGATTGAAATTGAACAAATGTATACAGTAGCCCTATATACTGGGAGAAAGGGAAGATGATGAGGAGAAATGGGAATCCGTGAGAGGCGACAGATGAGAACGTGAGTGGACATAACATGCCTGAGACCCTGAAACTAGAAGTAGCATTAACTAACAGCGAAGCAGTGAAAAGGAGGGTGATGGCTGGTTCCATGTACTACTGGCTGTTTAAGAGAAATAAACAGTAAAGGTAAGCATATGATTCTCTTTGTAATGCTTTTTGAATGACTTGGTGATGAGCCTCTATGAAATCGTGAAATATGCTGGCAATCTCAAGCGCTCTGTGGGCATGATTTGCACGCGTGTAATTAAAAAAAAAAAATCACAACTGATTGTGTCCCCCCCCAAACTTGTCATCAGATCTGCACCCATGGCTGCAACCTCCAATTTGATACGTGTCCCCCAACCCCCTGGATAAAATAATATATGTAGGCCCTGTGTTGTCACCCATTAGTTTGTGAACTCCCATTTTGATGCCTGAAGTGAACATATTTGGGCGAGTTGGTTGAGCTAACAGTGATACTAGCTGCTAGCTTGGTTAGCGCAGTGCATTTACAGCTATGATTAACAGTAATAATGCTAATGCTGATTTTTGCTAGCAAAAAAACAGGCTTAAATCCATTAAAAATAAATGCACTTACAGGAAAAACGGAACAACTGACTCCTTAGAGAGACGTTACAATTAACTTTTCTGACCTGAAAACACACTGAAATAGTGACAGCTACAGCTATACACTGTGACTGGAGTTTTTCCACGGTTACGTTACCAAACCAACGTTATTGTGGCAGTGACTTGCCAACGGATGGTACTGACCTGTTACTCAAAGCGGCCACACCCTTAATTTTGTATAACTTAAAGCCTTAACAACATTTAAACAGGTGAGTTATATAGAAGTAACTCCTCATACAGTTGTCATAAACGACAAAATGGACCAAAACTACTTTAAAGCTCATATATAATTGTTCTCTGACTCTGTTGAGAAGTCAAGATGTGATCAAATAAAGTTCATATATTTGTGATGTGAAAGTGGTTCTGCTGATATACTATAATTGTTGATGGAGTCCACTCCACCTGGTGATCAGACAGCTGGTGTGCGTCTGCTGATCCTCCCCGACTGACGAGGTGTGACTGCTGTGTTTACCAGAGGTGGATTTGTTAACTCTACCACTTTCATACATCCTGGTCACATGATTTCCAGTCTCCATGCACACATACACACACACACACGCAGATCAGGTACTTAGATCTGCTGCTTCTGTATCTCCGTGTTCCTCCATGTGTGATGGGCAGCTGATGAATGCTATTTTATTGTTAAAGGGACAGTTCACCCCAAAATCAGAACATTTTTCCTCTCACTTGGAGGCTTTTTATCTGTTTTGGTGAGTTGCTGACTGTTAAAGATACCAGCCATGTCTGACTGCTGATATTAATACAATACAATGAATACTAGTACTTCTACCAACAGTATCCAGATTACTACTAATACTGCTTTATGGGAGCTGTTTCTGGAGACACTCTTGAACTCACCAGCAGCTATTCAAATGAATAAGGAGCTGGCCATGCATCAGTCACATATTCCCTCTGTTTTACAACTTCATCCTCTGAACAAACAGTTCATCCACCAATCACTATGTCAGGCTGTTACTTCATCTTAACGTCTAACTCTGTCTGAGCCAACACATGCACACAGGATGCAGCAGAGCGTGTCCAGCTGACTGAACTGATGAGTGACACTGATCTCTGACTGCAGCCATGGATCCCAAACTAAGGTAGGGGGACCACTTGAATCAACAGGCTAACTTTATGTTTTACTGTGCTTGGATTTTTAACATTCGGCTAATCTGAACTTAATCTATGTAAAGTCTGTGTAGTTTAGTTTCCATGGTCCAGAGAGAAAGAGAAAGGATCTTCCAAAGGTTTAAAGATTGCCGTAAACCTTAAGTCCTATGTATTTTTAGGGACTTCTTGTTTTGTCTAACAGCAACACACGCACCTGTGAGGGTTGTGTTCAGACCGTGTCCTCTTCGTTCGCTTCAGTGACACCACTGTTGGCACAGCAGAAGCTCTGGAAAATGCAGGATTATCTAGCAAAACAACTGGCTCAACTTTGGGTGATTAATGTTAAGTACCTTAAAGTTGTGCTGCTGAGTTTTGCATCCCTGCATGGGAGGACGTAAAGTCCTTTCCGTATCTTTGTAGTCCTTATGTATCTGAATCTTTGTAGTAATACATATGTTTTGTATATATCAGCCTTTCTGGTTTATGCCTAGAGCGTAACTTGTTTTTCCTCATATTATATTCCCTGGGAAATAAGACGTAGTTTGGTTGTTTCCTAGGATTAAACCCTAGTCTCCAAAGGTCCTTGAAACCCTTATACATTTGTAAATTTGCAGGAAAAAAATCAAGGCTTTGACAGTTTTTGAAAATAGACATAAATTAACATGGGTCTTAGAAAGTGCCTGAATTCATATCTTTTGTGCAATGAAAGAAATTGAAGTTATTTAGATTTTTGGGGGGATTTTTTATTTATTTATTTATTTATTCATTTATTTATTTTTTGCCTTTATTAGATAGGACAGTGAAAGGGGGGATGACATGCTGCAAAGGGGCAGCAGGCTGGAACTGAGCCTGCAGCTGCTGCTGCAAGAGCGTTACCTTCGTATATGGGATACCCGCTCTCCCCACTAAGCCACTGGACGCCCAGATATTATTTTAAAGTTAATGTTAACATAGGCTACGTGCCGCTGTCTGTGTGTGTGTCTCCCACAGTTGCTGCATTGTTGTTAAATTGTCTGTAAGCTTCTGTAAAGCTTCTGATTTCTCATTATGAAAATTCTCAGTGTTGTAACAGTAATTAGCCCAACTCACTCACACTCACCAAAATAAATGTTGGCAAGTACGTTTCTGCACATGACGGATATGTCACATTTGTGCGTTATAGTCCGACACATTGAAACTGAACCTTTCTTTATGTTTCAACATTGCTGTGGTAAATGTGTGGTTATCTTTAGCCACAAAACCCAATTAGAAGATCATTATTTGGCTCAGAATACCTGGTTTAGATGCAGTTGTCCCCACAGGAAGCTGAGTTATGTCAGTATTAACCAGCTGGTTTTATTCTGACTGTCTCCAACAGTGGTCTCCGTTGGTCTGCATCTTGGCAGGCATCTCACCCAGGTATCATATCATCCACCTTCACCTCCACCTCCTGATGATGTCTGCTCACTTTAGAAACGTTGATATGATACAAAGAAACGTACAGTTGTAATTTATTTGTGGTTTGCAGAAGCCTACAATGCCAACATTTCTTCTGGTGATGGGGCTGAATTAAGCTTGATCTATGTTTAAACTGAGTCATGTCAGGTCTTTGATTTTGAGGGAACTGGGCCTGGATTGTCATTGAAAAGGCCTTGAATATGATGTTTAAGAAGGTGTGGGAACCCTGACTGTATAATGAAATGGTCACATTAGACTGAAGATAAAATGGCTGCCACCATGGGTGCTTTCCAGAGTTGTAAAACCATCAGTGAACAGCTGTGCAGTATTTTAGCATCTGATACCGATGACGTGCCAATATTATCGTGCAGCTCTACAGATACTAGACACAAATTATTATTCAAAAGCAAAGTATTTTTATATGTCTTGAAGCATCTGTTTACATTTTTCTGGTAAGCAACATCTGGTGGGTGGATACCGCCTATTGTCAGGGCAAATACAGTGATAGTGAAGTGACTGTTCTGCAACCACAAACAACGTAGGGAGGATGTTTGTGGCAGCTAATGTGTTGCCATTTTGAGGAGTTGTCATTGTTACAGCAACAGCTGTGGCATTACTACGGATGAGTACACATTATTAATTAATGCAGGTTAATTGGTGACTGTTAATTGTCCGTAGGTGTGAATGTGAGTGTGAATGGTTGTCTGTCTCTATGTGTCAGCACTGTGATAGTCTGGTGACCTGTCCAGAGTGTACCCTGCCTCTCACCCAGTGTCAGCTGGGATAGACTCCAGCACACCTGCAACTCCTAACAGGATAAGCTGTTACAGACGGAGAATGAATGAATGACTGCTTGTTAACAGTAAAATAACCACTACTTTACGCTTAATAAACTTTCAGTTTACCATTTGCAGGTATAATATGCAAGTGGCTGCTAGATTTGAAAACGCTGCTGAGTCGAAACCCTCTCATGAGAACATTGTTGCGTGAGCAGCGTTAGTAAACAGTGATACTCTCTGAGATGTGTGAATAGCTCCTAAATGGAGTGAGAAGGGCAGGTCCCTTTACCTAAACCACAAACTAACCCAACACTGTAAAGAAAATGAGCTGCTGGAACCACAGCAAGTTAAACACGGGGCGAGATAGGATCAAAATATTTTCTTTAGCTCGAGGAGGAAGGAGCTGAGCTGGACGGTCAGGTTTGAGGGACACGTAAGGCTGGATCAAGTGAATGATTTGGGCATGAGGAGAGGGTGCTGGTTTTTCCGTGAGGACGAGTTGAGGGATGTTTCCATAAGTCTTTATTTACAGTGCTGTCATGTCAGATGATGAAAGGCTGAAAAGTTGTGAGCAAATAATGTTGACCAGAAAGCTGACAGGATAATTCTGTACTGTAAACTAACCAGGGCCACTCAGGTGATGAATGTACATTGTATGACTCAGCTTTGTCCAAGAGAGGGATGATGTCTTATATCTTATGCCTTATATCTTGAGAGGAGGGAGATGAGGAGGCAACAAATCCTTTGACAACCTTCAGCATTCAGAGCGCAGGAAAGCAACCAGATGTTTGTTGGAAGTTAGTTTTTAGATGTAAACTGAGGAACTTGTTCATAAAAAAACAAGAAGACTTCTCTGGACTTCAGCATGATGAATCCCTCAGACAGTCCTGCAACACAGCGCCGGTGAGCAGTTGCACTTTAAAGGATTTCTGAACATTTTGCTGCATCTGAATTTTTCTAAATATTCTTAAGGGGAGTCTACTGTCGGAGTAGTGGAAAGAAAACATCCGAAATATACATGGGCAGGTTTTTGTTCTGGAAATTTATACAAAGAATTAACTAGATAATGCCTCATTTACATATTTAAACATAACAATTCAGAAAATTCCTATACAAAAATAATCATTTTAATGTAAGTAATCTACTTTGAGATTTCCTGGTGATATGTAATCCATATCCAGTTTTATTTATGTCTATACTCTGGAGGTTTTTACAGGGGGATTTGTTCAAATATCATTCATAGCCTGCTTCAGAGAAAGTTTTATTCCCGAAAACATGGTGCCAATTTATCTTTTTAATGGCTGTTGACAGTATTTTCTGATTCACGGAGTTCCCTCTTTAAAAAACCTCTTACCCAAATATGTCGAAAAAAAAAATAAGACAAGAATTTTGAAGGGGGTTGTATTTATGCAGTGATTTAAAAAAAAAAAAGTGATATCCAAAATTCACTTTGTAAAACCTTTGACTCTCAACAAAATAAAACAAGAATTTTAAACCTGGTTTCATCCAGTGTTCAGATTTCTGTTTTTAAAATGTATGCAAATTGGAACAAATTTAGTTAGATAATGTCTTTTTGCATATTTAAACATCACATTTCAGAAATCCTGTAACACAAAAAAATAATTGTCTTAATCTAAGTAATCAGCCAGGGAAGTTTCATGGTAATATCTATGAGTTTAAAATTTAACCCCATTCACCTGAAGTCTCCCCTTATCTTTTATGTTTAATAAGATTTCAGATAAGGATCTTTTTTTCCCTGTTCTGGAAACTGGTGGTGGAGGAGCATTAACACTGAGTGGAAAAAAAGAGCTTTTGTCAACACTCATAAGGAAAATATCAGCATTATTCCAATTAAGATATCATTGGAATAAGGTCAGAAAAAATACCTAGAAAAAAACACCACATTTCAGGTGTAAAAGAAAATCTAGGTTGCAGATTTTATGCAAGCAGCATAAATTATGTTTTGTAAATGGTACGACTCATATGTTACATGACTGGGGAAGTTAGCCGAAAACTTTTGCACTAGTGAGTAGGGCTGGTAATTGGTACTCAATACCTGCAAGTATCGATGGAAATGACCCAGTACAAAGTCTTATCGAAGCTTTTCCAGTCCTGCCTCAATCCTTTATGTACCCAGATCTCAAAAAAGCTCACAGCCAATCACCACAAGCAATCTGTAATTTGATGCGACGTGTGATTGGCTGATTGCTGCTGCAGCCACATCCTATACAGCAGTGACACTCAACTTACAGCCCACGGGCCAAATCTGATCCCGGATAGGGTGCTGAGTGAGCCCCCAACCATTTTCTAGTTCACAATGGAAATAACTGATTCAAAATGGGAATGTTTTCTGTACTGTTAATACACGTAAGCTGCCAGAGTGCATAAAAAAGCATCAAAATGGAGCTTGTTTATAAAAAAAAGTGCCAGTGGAAGATCTCTTGAACCCAAGAGAAACACCCCTGCCTACATGTGTGAGGCTGCCGTGACTGGCAACTGACAAAACAGAATCTTGATTTATATTTGATTAGTGATGCCAGTTTGAGGCAGCGCAGTGGTTAACACTGTCGCCTCAAAGCAAAAGGATTCCTGGTTTGAACCCAGGGTGGGGGAGCCCTTCTGTGTGGAGTTTGCCTGTTCTGCCTGTGTCAGCGTGGGTTTCCTCCAGGTGCTCCAGCTTCCTCCCACAGTCCAAAGACATGCAGGTTAATTGGTGACTCTAAATTGTCCATAGGTGTGAATGTGAGTGTGAATGGTTGTCTGTCTCTATGTGTCAGCCCTGTGATAGTCTGGTGACCTGTCCAGGGTGAACCCTGCCTCTCACCCAGTGTCAGCTGGGATAGACTCCAGCATACTGCGACCCCCAACTTGATAAGCAGTCATGGAAAATGAATGAATGAATGCCTAGTTTTACAGTTTGACCACAGTTCACGAGCAGTGATTGACATGATTGACAGCTTCACTAGCAAGTCCTCGGCTCTAATTGGTTATTTTTGGTGTGCCACAGTCTGATTTTAGCGACGGCCATTAGAACCAGTAGTAGGGACACAATTTTTTTCACAGACTGTCTGTCTCATGTACTTCTGTAGGAATATAGTGACAGTTTCAGCAAATATGACACAAACTTATTTTAATAAACGTTACCAACTGTAGTTTTAAGGAAGGAAAAAAAGGGCTGGCTAAGGGAGACAACAAGTTTAATTCCCATTTCCAAACAGGTTACAGTTCGTGAAAAAAGACCTGGAAAAGCGTATGAAAACCTCTTCACACACTTTTAAGCGAGATTTATACCTCTGCATAGGCTTTACGCTGACCATACCCTACGCTGTAGCCTTCTGTAAACTGAAACCATTTCCCTCAGTGGAAACATTATTTACTTTAATTTCACAGTTAAGAAACAATAAATTGTGAAGACAATAAAGCCTCCGCAGAAATAGCATTTTAAGTTGTGTGTGTGATTTATCCTGGCTTCATATGAGCAGAGGAGATCTACTCTAGCTGCTAGGCTAATTTATACATTGTAAAATGCCATATGCTTGTGCTAATAACATTAGCATGTTGTATTTGTGGGGAAAATGTGTCCAGATAAAGACAAGTGTTTGTCTGTGAATCCTAGGAGTTATAGTGAAGCTAATTTGTGTACTTGTGTTTGAAATTGTCGCTATTAAGCCATGTTTAATGTGTGTTTAATGTGTGTTTTGAATCAACTAAACTTTACAGCACTTCACAGAAACCCCACGGCCGATAAGTGTTTTGGAGGTGTACCTGCAGAGTGACACAGACACACCACCGCACAAGTACAAATGCTCACAGTGGCGTAGGCTACAGTGTAGGGTCTGCCCTCATCAGTTTTAATCTTACATTTCAATCTGTCTATGGCTCTTTGTCTGACATGTTTTATGTATTGATATGCAGAGTAAGCCAAAGCTATTTTAGGGACATAGAGTGATGAGAAAGTGGCATGAACACAATAGGGACGTTAATGTGTGTTGAACTGGAGAGCGTATGGGACCCCAGGGACAAAGATAAACTCCTGTTATGAAGGTAATTTGTAGCAGAGGAGGTTAAAAATAAGATCTGACTGACAGAAAGTTCTCTCCCTCTTCCTTGAGCAGAAAGGCCAAGTTGATGTTTGGCCTGAAAAAGAAGAAGAAGAAAGTCAACACAGACCTGGTCCTGGCAAACAAGGGAGCTCTGGGTAAGGCCTGGAAAACAAACACACATACACGCACACACAACACTCACACACACACAGCCTCACAATCTTGGTTGTATTTATAGTGTACAATAGAGTAATTCTACCTGTCATATCACTGTGGGTGAGACTAACCCTTGTCAAACAGTCACATGTTGAATTCTGCTGTAACAGTAATTATGGGTCATTTCGGTTTCTGAGGACACAAAGCGTCATTCATCACAGGATGTAATTGGCCCTGTTTAACCAGTGTGCTAATAAACGTCCTCTGAAATGATTTTAACATGGTCATTATCTTCTGTGGTTTCAAATGTGTCTGCGTTAAACGGGATGTGGGAGCGGGATCAGTCAGTGTGAATGAATCTGACATGAACATCTGCATAGTGTTGAATATTCCAAAGTCATTTCAGAGCCACAACTACACACCAAAACTCTCTCTCCCTCTTGAGTTATGTCACTTCTGTTGCTAGTTAGCTTAAAAGATGGCTGACGACCAAGAGCTCACACTGTTTGCCAAGATTTGTAAGCATGCACAGCACAACCTCACTGACCTTTGCCACTGATACGTAGCTCACAGTAAGTGCAGTGTAGACCATACACATCAGGTTTTCTGGCTAAAAGAAGTTGTGCAAAATAAAGGTCAGTGTGTGTCTCTGTAGACAGTGAGGCTGAGGTGCCCCCTGAAGAGTCTCAACTGCTGGAGGGAGAAAACACTGAGGACCAACCAGAAACCTCTGAAGTCAGAACCAGAATCAGACCAAACAACAAGAGGTATAAAGTATTCACACTACATAACTTTTATATACAGTGTTTAGGAGCAGATACTGAAAAGTGAAAGTAATATAGTTAGAATTCACCCCGAAATTACTATTTGTAGTGGTGCATTTGATGTCATACATTAAAAACAAAATGCCTTGTTGATGCTCGAACACATCAGAAATTATTGTCAACCTTCCTAAAGTAGATATGAAGTTTGGAACGGCGGATCCTGTCACCTGTGTGTCCAGCTTTTGTTCATCTTTGTGCTTCATTAATTCAGTGTTGTGTGTGTTTGTGGTTGACTGTGTTGTGCTGATCAGTCTGGATGACACTTTACTGTGTCCTGATCATGAGTGACTGTGATAGGCACTTATTTCCAACACAATCACCAGAATAAATGTTGGCATTGTGTGTTTCTGCAAACCACGGATACGTTACATTTGTGTGTCATTATTCAGCTGATATTGGGGGTTGAGCTGAATACTCAGATGAAACGAGTATCCGGTAAAGATAATGTCCTTGTGAGGAGTACGAATGTCATACAAGCAAAATGTGTAATTATCTGTACTTGTGATAAAGGAAAATCGTGATTTGGGTAGCTATGTTTAATCTGTTACTCTTGTCTCATAGGTAATAAATATCTAGAAATATCTATATAAATAATATATGTACATTTCAGGCTTAAAATAACAACTTTTGATTAGGCCCAACCCACTTTCTATTTAAATCCCACCCACTTCTGGCATAAACTCCACCCAGTCTGAGTACTGATACAGATAATTTAGTTGGTTGAATAGATACAGACAGAGATACAGATAATGCTGTACTCGCTAAGCCCTAGTGGATACATTAAAACTTTGTTTCTTAACTTTTCAACCCCACTGTATGTAACGTAGTTATGTTTAGGCTAGTCTCGCCACCAGACGATCAGAGATCTCCGCCTTCTGATAGTCTGGGGACACTCCTTTCTAAAGTGTGTTTAACACACTGGAGAAAACGGCCGGCAACAAAGCAACGCCTCTTGCATTTTTGAAAAGGACACGCCCTCCCGGAAATGTGCGCTCCCCTTTTCTCGTCCGCAAGGACACAAACACACAGAGAGCTTGAAAATGGATGCCGAGAGATTTAACTCCGTTTTATCAAACGTGTGCTCAGTCCACAAGATTGTGGAAATTAAGTACTTACAGCAACTGTTTAAAACTTTTAACGCAGTCGGACTATGTTTACGAGCACAAGAGTTCAGCGAGCCACCGAAGGACCGCCTTGCGGATTTACTATTGGTTCTGCAACGTAGGGAGTTTTTTTAAACTTTGAATTTGTATCCGCCCATCTAAACACAAAATCAGGGAGAAAGACATCAGTCTTTAGTTAAGCAAAGCGTTCAAAGACTGACTTGTGAGTCTATGTTTAGGCACAAAAATCACTTGTTAATGGTCAGGAAAAGATCATGTTTTAACCGCTGAAATACTCACATTTTGTGACGCCTTCCTGGCAGGAAAGGTAGCAATGTTCTGGTAGAAACTATTTGCTTTTTGTGGCACTGTCCCTGCTGGAAAGCTGCAATGTCTTAGTAAAAACACTTGCTTTTTGTAGTACTATCCTGGCAGCAGTGGCATAAGGTAATTATGATGGGCCCCAGTGCATGCTATTATGACGGGCTCTATTGTGTGTGCTATCGTGGACATATTATCTCGTCACATGATCAGAGACTTGACATTGGATAACATCAGCATACATATTAGTCAGCAATTATCATTACATGTCTGTATATCACAAAAAATACCAAAGAAAATGAGAAATTATCATTTTAACAATTGTAATAGTTTATTATAGTTTATTTGGAATAAGCATATCATTTAGATAGATGCTATTTGACTATTTTACAAAAAAAAAAACATGATGGAGATGGAGTTGCCTTTTTCATGGGGATATATAGCAAATGGCATAGAGATGCACTGATCCAGCTTTTTCAGTTTCAATACCGATCCTGATGCTGTGGCTTTGAGTATCAGCCGATACCCGATACTAATCCGATACCATGGTTGACCTAAAAAGCTATATACCTTTACATGTAGAACAGAAAAGACTAGAGGCATCGATGGCTGTGTAGGCATTGATGACTACACAGTTCTTTCCTAAGATAAAATGAAACAAGATGAAACAGATTAATGCAATGATGAACTATTTATTGTTAACAAAAATAAACAATTGTGCAACAGCAGTTGAAATTTTGTGAAATACCTCCACACAGCAGATTCTCTCTTTCGCTCCATGACATATGACATAGCTCGCGTCGCAATAGATTTAAAGGGAAAGGATCGCCTCAGGTATAGGTTGCATTTTCTGATATCCGATCCATCTATTTTGATGATATCGGGGCCGATATTCAAAACACAAGCGCTTTTTGTAGCAGTATCCACAACACAGCAACAGATCACTAAAAAAATATCCACGTATGGTGGCTAAAAAGTCAGTTCTGTTGTATGTTGATCTCAAACAGTGGTCTGCTGCTTGGCAAGCATCTCGCCTGAGTATCACACCATCTGACATTCCCTCCACCTCACGATGACAAAGTCAGCTTATATACTATGTCACTTTAGAAACTCTGATATGATACATATGAAGCATACAATTGCAATACATGTTTCGCAGGAACTTACATTGCCAACATTTGCTTCTGGCGACTGGGCTGACACCTCTGTATCACTCTGTTAGTATTTAGATTGAGACACTGACCTGTACACTGAAACTTCCACAGGGTCAAACTGAAAACTCTCATCCAGAAGAGTGAAGGGAAACCACAGAGTTTTCAGGTAACGACACACAGAACACACAGTTATGGACAATATTTGGGTTAAATGTAATTAAGACAAAATCAGAAAAAGATAATGATGCAAAAGGTTGATGAAAGAAATTCAGTTTGAAATATGAAGGAAAATATACACAATATTAAGAAGACAATACAACAGACAACAGAAAGGATGTGCTTTACAGTGTGAGATATATTATATATAAATATGTGTAATAAACAGGATGCTGTTAGGCCTAAATCGGAATAAATGTGCTGTAGTGTATAACTGTTTATCTGACCCGCAGATTGCCATTAACATCACTGAGGCCCGGCAACTGGTGGGAGAAAACATCGACCCCAGTGTGGTGATTGAGATCGGCGATGAGAAGAAACAGACGTCAGTCAAAGAAGGGACCAACGCTCCCTTTTACAATGAGGTGAGAATAAATTAGGGCAATCTGAAAAACCCACTGGTATTACTCATCTGAGAGACCCAGTTTAAAAGAACCTGTGTCTCAGTCTAACTGTCCCCTTCTCTTCTGTCCGTCAGTATTTCGTGTTCGACTTCTTTGCCCACAAAGAGATATTCTTCGACAAAGTCATCAAGCTGACAGTGAGTAAATATAAATGCAGAAAGCTTGATTATACTTGTTTAGAAATCACTAGGTGCACTTTTCGGTTGCCAGATTTTTCAGTGGCCTATCAATTTCAAGTGTCTCTCCTCTGTGTATCTTTCTGTCTTCAGGTGATGCACTCTAAAATGCTGAGGAGTTTCTTTGTGGGGTCCTTTAAGCTGGATGTGTGGACAGTCTACAAACAGCCAGGTAGCTCATCTCTTTCTGAGGTTAACGGCAGCTGCATGTTGCCTTCAAAGTGATTGAACTCTCTGTCCCACCTAAAGGTCCCTCTACTGTCTCCGTCCTGTTCCTTCAGGTCACCAGTTCATCAATAAATGGGCAATGCTGACCAATCCTAGTGACATCAGCACTGGAGTCAAAGGTTACGTGAAGTGTGACATCAGCGTCTCGGCAAAAGGAGATGCCATGCAGCCAGGACAAAAAGCACAAGATGCTGAGGAGCAGATAGACAAGTATGATACTCGTCTATTTCTTACTGTTATCCTTTTGTTATTTAAGTAACATCCCACTTAAGGTCATGCTGTTGTAGCGAATATCAGCATGGCTGTGATTGGTCGTTCCTGTGACCTCATGCCTTCATTAATAACAGCTGTCAGAGGATACAGATGACCCCAGCCCAAGGCCAAGGGGGGCCCATGAAAAGGTCGATGGTTGACCCTTAAATTGGATATAGTACAAGTACAACTACCTACTGACTTAAATCACAGACAGTTGTATATATTTACATGATAAATTAATGTAATTTTATCATTAAAACACATTTCAGTGTGCCATCTGATACTCCTCCCTATATGCAGACGATACTCTGCTATTTTTAAGATAACATTTGACCAATCATCCCTGTGCCTCTGGAAACACAAAAATGTTTTTTTGTGAATACTCAAAGTCCTCAGAGGACTCTGCACTGGGTTAAAAAATACATATGTGTTGCTGTGATGTCCTTTTCCTCAGGAACCTGCTGATACCTGAAGGTTTTCCCTCTGAGCGACCGTGGGCTCGTTTCTGTGTGAAGGTGTATCGGGCTGAAGGCCTTCCTCGAAATAACTCCAGCATCATGGCCAATGTCACCAAAGCCTTCATAGGAGACAACACAGCACTCATAGACCCATATGTAGTCGTCAGCTTCTTTAAAAATATGGTAGGTTGGATATCAACTACTAGCAGATGTCACTTTAATTAACTGCTGATTTGTAAACTAATCCTGAAGCTGCTTTTAAGATCACAGCAGCTATTGTACAGGTTTCTTAACAGTTATTGAATGATTGTTTGAAATTCAGCACATTGTTTCATGTAAATCCTCTTCTTACTTTTGCACTCAGGGTCGCACATCCACTCAGAGGTCCACAGCTGACCCCGTGTGGAACGAGCAGATCATCTTCCAAGAGATGTTTCCCCCTCTGTGTCAGAGACTGAAGATTCAGGTCTGAACCTCAGCAATATGTAGAGAAGGAAGGACTGGCTTTCTGCAAATTTGACTCCAGTTTGCAGAACTGAATTATACAAGTCTATTAGAGTATATGATACAACAATGACGCTGCGGTTACGTGCTCCTTGGATATTCCCATCCAGAGTTGAGAGGCTGATCTTCACACTCTGATGTGTTTATGACATAAATTGTATAAATAATGAATCTAACCACCGTGGTGTCACCCACTGGTCCATGAACTCCGTTTTTAAAGCCCCAAGTTTGGCATTTTAGTAACCATCTTGGATTTTTAGAGCCAGAAGGGTTTTTGGATGACAGGTTGGAGCTAACCCTAACGCTAGTTGCTACCTTGGTAAGCACAGTGCATTAACAGCTATGGTAAACTGTAATAATGCTAATGCTAATTTTCATTAGTGAAAAACAAGCTAGAAAACAATCGATTCAAAATGTACTTATCAGAAAAACTTAACATCAGTGACAGCGATTGGTTGTCTTTTAGGGGCTGAACAAGATGTTTTTAGGTGACCAAACGTTACAATGACCATTTCGCCATGGTTACCATACCTAACCAGTGTTGTTGCTGTGGTAGCGACTTGTCAACGGATGGCACACACCTGTCACTCAAAGCAGCCACGCCCTAATTATGTGTTGACTCTGGCTTCTCTCTCCTCACAGGTCTGGGATGAGGGAAGCATGAGCGATGTTGCCATAGGAACCCATTATTTTGACTTGAGGCGCATCTCCAACGAGCAGGACGGTGACAGAGGTGAGGAGAGATGAAGGGGGAGATGTGGGGTGGGAAGGTAAGAGAAAGGACAAATATGTGCAGGGGAGTGAGGAAGGAAGCAAGGAAAGACAGGAATAATATTCTAGATGGGAGGAGTCACTGCAGGAACTGATTCTGGTGACCACTGTTCATCTCTCTGCATCTTATTCTCTCTTTTTCCAGGGTTTTTACCAACTTTTGGTCCTGCTTGGATCAACCTGTACGGCTCTGCCCGAAACTATACATTAGGTGACGACACAGCAGAGCTTAATGAGGGCATTGGAGAGGGCGTGTCCTACAGGTCAGTGTTAAAATATAATAATTATTTTGACATTTTATTATAAAAAAAACTGAGAGTAATAATTGACCAAAGAAATATCCAATTCCTGCCTGTGTCAGGGGTCGGGTATACATGGAGCTGACAGTGGAGATCCTGTCTGGAGGGTCAGGTTCGGAGTCCAAACTCAGCAAAATGGTGAAGCCATTAAAGGATGCTAAAGCAGGAAAAGGCGGAGGGAAGGATGGTAAGACTCCTGCAGGAGGAGGAGCAGGAGCAGCAGCAGGAGGAGCTGCTGAAGATGACAAAGGAAAAGTTGTGGCGGAGGTCCTGCCTGTGGAATCTCCACCTGCGGTAGGAAGGGTTTTTTTTTTTTTAATAATGTCTTCAGTGTCTTCCTATAATGTAGAAAATTAATAATACCATGTGGTTGTGTCACACCAGGTGGTTATAAATACACCAATCAGCCATAACATTAAAACCACTGACAGGTGAGGGAAATAACATCAGTCATCTTGTTACAATGCAATGTTCTGCCGCAAAACTTTGGGTCCTGGCATTCATGTGGACGCCACTTGACACAGACTACCAACCAAAACATTGTTGCAGACCAAGTACACCCTCCCATGGCCAAAGAATAGTGAATAGTTTGTTTTTATGTTTGGGAAGTACTGAGTACACAACTGGATAAATGAGACTTGCATTATACTGCACGAGTTGTGTGAGAGTTTGTAAATCGATGTTTTGATACAGTTTTGCTGTTTGTAAATGTGCTCCCAATGACTTCAATTCATGAAAAACGTTTGCCTTTTTCATGCAAGAAAAACGAAGTTTTCGTCACAAATTCAGTGTAACACTGGGTGAGTATCTGATATACAGCTGGTAATTTTGAGGGAGAAGTATTTTTTTAAATTATGACACTGAAAGTCTATTTGACAAACAGATAAATGAATAATGGAGATGAATCTGTGTGCAGCTGAATCCAGACAACAACGAGAGCTTCCTGCTGTTTGGGGCGTTGTTTGAAGCCACCATGATTGACAGGAAGATCGGAGACAAGCCCATCAGCTTCGAGTTCTCCCTGGGTGAGTCGCCAGTTTGACTGTCCTCACCCTGTTCCTCCCTTCTGTTTTCAAGTGTTGCTCGTAAAGAGAATTGTGCATCTACTCATCAACAAAAGAGGCTCATGCTTATGACAGATTGAGATGTAATCATTAATGACGTCCACCTTGACTGAGCTGTAATGTTAGCTAGCGCTTGCTCATAACAAGGTCTGTGAATTATCTTGAGTAACTGGATCCTTTATATTGGAGAGGAGGCAGACGTTTCTACAACCGATATCTCCAACGCTTGGCCACTCAAGTCATCAAATAAATGTAGTGCAGTAAAAAGTACTATATTTGCCCCAGAACTGTAGTGGAGCAGAAATACAGTAAAGTACAAGACCCTCAAAACTGTACTTAAGTACATTACTTGTGTAAAGATATTTAGTTACTTTCCACTATCGCTGGTGATTCATAAAGAAACCCTCCTCTTCTTTGGTTTCCTCCCTCAGGTAACTATGGTAATGTCTTGGAGCAGCAGCCCACCGTCCCAGCCCCCAGTCCTGCTGCCAGAAGGCGAAAAGCATTGGAAGTCCCAGACAGCAGTGACCTGTTTTCCTCCTCTTCTCTCAGCTCCTCGCCCACCTCCCCGTCCTCCCCTCTCCTACCCAGAGAGGCTCCAGAGTTCCCCTCGACCTCTAAGTCCACCACACCCCCGCTAAAACCACTCATCGTCGAAGGAAACAAGTTGAGTCGCTTTGTTGTTTGACTTTTGACGCTCTGTTGAACCTTAAGAAGATATTTTTCTGTTTGTGTGTACTTCTGCATGATGTAGATTTTATTGCAGCTGTATTTTGCACTACAGCTAACTGGCAGGAAAACAGGGCCTTAAAGCAAGGCTGTGTAACTTTTGCAGGAATGTGGCTAATGTGGCTCCCAGAAGAGATTACAGCATAACGACACGTTGAATTACACCTCACAATCTTTGGAGTCACTTTCTTTGATGGCCACATTCTTGAGTGTGAAAGTACATTCTGGAAATTAGAAACAGTATTTTGACAGAAAAGTCTTAGCTCCAGATCCACTTACTTACTTTTTCAGCCATTTTCCACCACATCTCATTGTCTTCCCCGGCAGAGAAGCATTTTCCCGAGGTTTTAATCACTCTAGAAAAAATATGGTTGCAAGATCCAGACCTGGAGTTAAAGCTGGGGTAGGCAGAAATCTGCACAAGGCACAAAAACAGCAGAATTGGGAAATACAGCCTCCTCCTACAGCTCTCTCTTCTCTGTCCTAAGCCTCTCCCACCATACGACCACAGGCATATGCACAGGCCTCATACGGTAACCCAGTGTTTACCCTACATTGATTTATTTAAATCTGATTTAATTGTAGAGATCTTTTGCTGGTTTTGAGACCACAAATGAGACAAGAATTAGTTAGCTAGCCACCTCACGGTCCCTCTGCGTCACTCCTCGCCGCTGTGGACTGCTTCCCTAGGAGGAGAGCAGGTAGCAGCAGAGTCACAGACCTTCGATTGGTGGCTGTAATGGCTCTAATACAGCCAGTGCAAACACACCAGTGCCCGTTGTTCCAGTGGGCTGGTGGCCAGTGGCAGAGCTGGCTCTAACCTGTGTAACAGCAGCAACAGAAAGTTTGCTGATCTGGCAGAGAGTCAGGGCTGTCCCCCATAGCTGTTTGGGTTCTGGGTTGCTGCGGCTGCTGACTGGGGGTCTGTCTCCAGGGCTGCTCCCCACTCTCCTCTTGGCGAAGGGGTCAGCAGTGGTGGGAAATGAGGAAAAGGACAGACTGTGATTTGAGGCTCTAGCTAACATTAGCTACATAAACCTAAACTTGAAGCCACAGTTTTTGGCTCTTGTTAGATACATTTTCTGTCCATAAGTGAAACGCTTTGCCGATACGGAAAGGTGGCTTGTTTCGTTTATTGTCAGACTCTCTTTTAGACTCTTTATGAAAAGTCCGCCTTCCTATTCTGGATTGCTTTGTTGCGTAGATAGTTGTTGCCAATGCTGGAATAGCAACTTTTTCTATGAATTCTCCACCATTGAATCAGGCTTTCACTGAAGAGACGTGCATGTACTTCTGCATTTATAGAACAGCCAATAAGAACGACCTCTCTCTGAAATGACCAGTGATTGACCAAAGTCTCCTTTCACGGGCTAGATTTACTAAATCTCGAAAACAGAGCCAAGAGAAGGTGCAGATGTCTAGCGCTGAAGTACAATATGCTTAAAGTTTACTTCAGGGTTTTTGCCCAATAACGCCAAAATAAAACAACCAACCTTAGCTTTAAGATGATTTTTTTTAATTATTAAAGTCCCAATTAATAAATGGGACTAAATGACTGCTGCCTGAAAGTAAATCTAGATATTTAAAATGATCTTTTAGAAAAAGGAACATTTTTTAGCTTCACATTATGTTTGCTTTCATTGTTGTCGTTGCATAGATAACTGTGTTTGCATGTGTCTGTGTACTTTTAGGTACTACATGTATCTTCCTCTGGAGAAGCAGAAGCCGTGTATAAATGTGCTGACTCACTGGGAGAACAGAACGTACCGACTGTACAACTCGAACATGCTGGAGAATATAGCTGTTTTGTTTGTATGTACACAGCATCTCACAAACACATACACACACACACACACACACACACACGCACACACTCATGACATGTCATTTTCACTAATCAGAATATCAACATGATCTGTTGTGAGCTGTTACCTCATGGGAATCTGAACTTCATGAACATTTTTCAATCTTGTCTTTTAGGAGGAGGGTGTGGCCAGTGCAGCAGAGCTACACAAGAAGTCAGATCCAGGGGCGGCGCGTCTGCTCATTATCGTCCTCAAAGAATTCTGTATGGACGCCAGGTATTCAGTCAGTCTAATCAGAGCACGATAAGACTGTTGTGTCTCACTACAGCAATGCTGGGAAAGTCTTAACAGCATTGCTTTATAGAAATTAAATAAACATGTCTGTCACTGTAAGTAATTTTTTATAGAAAAGTGTTTCATCATAGTCTGGCCAGTTAAAGGTGCATTTGAACAAAAAATGGTTTCAGGTGACAACAAGCTTCTCACTGCTCCATTATGACAAAGAATATATTTACATCACAGCCTACATTAAAATAGAAGTTGGTCCAGAACACAATTATTGTTCAGTCAGGAACACTTTAGTCAAAGAAAACTTCATTTACATTTGCAGTATTATATTTGGTGGTATGGCTCTGTTCTGGGGCCCCTCTGTCTTTCCTAGGCCTACACAGGGAGTCTCAGTCGGAGAAAACAAATCTCTCCGCCCTTCCACATGCCTACGTAGAAAGCCTTAAGACAGAGAGAGCAAACTTCCCTGCCCTTCCATGTTCTTACATGGAAAGCCCAAGGTGGAGAGAACATACCTCTCTGCCCTTCCATGCGCCTACATGGAAAGCCTAAGGCAGAAAGAGCACACCTCTCTGCCCTTCCACATGCAAATGAGGAAAGTCTGAGGCAGAGAGAGCACACCTCTCTGCCCTTCCATGCACCTCCATGGAAAGCTAAAGGCAGGGAGAGCAGCAGCAAAGACCCCCAGGAACAGATCAGAGCAGCATTAATGACAAACAGAAATGACACTGATAAGTCAGACACAGCATGAAAAGGAGGAGCTGGGGTGGAGGCAGGTCGCAAAAAGGGTTGTAATTTACATTTAAAACACATGTCTGGTATAGAAGCAGTTGATTTGTGGTATTTTTGTAAGAAAAAAGCATGAATGAATATTGTTAGTTGTTCTTTCTATATTGCCATTCACAAGGTAAATCTCACACTTTTTATGTAGGCCTGTGTTACCTTAGTTTTGCATTTTCCTGCCCATGTTGTTCCTCATGCTTGGAATTACTATTTTCCTTTTCACTGCACACTTTGTCTCTGCTCATTAAACAAGGAAAAAAAGGCTCAGTAATCCAAACCTTTCACTTACTGCAGCCATTGTTCTCTAAGCAAAGAGTGTAAAACAGCTATTAATTATTGAACAGCAGTCTCTTATACAGTAGAGACAAAGCAAACCTTCCCATGTTTGCTCTTCATCACAAAGTGAATGAAGGAATGTAAACACAGTTGCTGTGTATGTAATTAAACAGCCTGATAATGTCTGATACACCTGTATAATGTTCCAGTGGTGCCAATGGATTAAATGTGATGCTGAGCTATGAAATAACAGGGCCAACATACTCTATGACTGTATAGTCTGTCTACTTGATGAGTGTAGACAGACTTGTGACATCCATGATACACCTGTCACCAGCTGCTTCTTGTCACCTGCTGATGCTCATGTTACATGTTCTCACTGTTGCTGTAAACACTGAACAAGGACCCACAGAATATTTGAGTGTTCCTACCAAGTGACCTCTTGCAGTAGTGACAGTCAAGCCTGTACTCTTCACTGTGTTTCTGCAGGAGTTTCATCGCAGTAGCAGAGGCCAAGCTGAAGGCGGAGCTTAAGTCGAGCTACCTGACGCAGCTGGACAGGAAACGGCTCACCATGTGCAAACAGGAACTGGTGGGGGAATCTGAGATACACACAAACACGCACACAAACCGAACAACAAGCACAAAATATCCTGCATCATAATAACGTGTGTGTGTGTGTGTGTTGCAGGAGAGCATGATAGGAGAGGCCCAGTCTTTAGCAGAGAGGAAGAGAAAAGCTGGTGGTCTGAAAGAGATGCTGCAGGATGCATCGAAGCTTACACACAAACTACGCTTCCTTGTGGAGGAGGTACAGGACTCGCCCTGTGTGTGTGTATGTGTGTGTGTGTGTGTGTGTGTGTGTGTGTGTGTTTATGTACATCCTGATGACTTGTGTGTGGGACGTGCTGTTGTCTCCAAACTTTTCTCACACACATTCACATCCTCACACTCTGCAGCCCCAGCACACAGTGCCTGACATCTTTGTGTGGCTGCTGAGCAACAACAAGCGCATCGCTTACGCTCGGGTCCGAGCCAGAGACCTGCTGTTCTCCAGCAGCCAGGAGGCTCGAGGAATCCACTGTGGCAAGATAATCACACTGTATTTGAAGGTGAACACACACACAGAAGTTACAGTGTTTGTTAGTGTTGGAAAGTTGGCAGAGAAACACTGATACATTCATGTGTGTGTTTGTGTGTGTGCAGCCACCAGGGAAGCGGGTTACAGGCTTGTCAGTGCAAGCGAAGGTGGATGTGTATCTGTGGTATGGGAGCTGTTCAGACTCTGGCCACATGCTGGATGACCTACCTGCAGGGTACAGTCCTACCACAGGGGGCGCTGACGCTGGCTGCCCTCCAACAAGCCTCCAGTGTGCAGGTGAGAGGAGGATTATTACAGTCCCTCCATCTCTTTGGTTATTTTAGCAATTTGTGTTTGAACTTCACAAAATGGCAGCACTTACTGTTTTTGGCTTCTGTTTGTTCACTAACTGGAAACAGACTGAAAAAGACTGGAGGTCACTGTAGCTTAGGTTCCAAACCTAATTCTGTCTTCACTAGTTGCTATTGGCGATTAAATATAAAATTTACAGAACAGGTTCTGGTTTAGTTTCACATCCACAGCATCACAGTTACATTACATTTCAATTAAGTTTTCAAGTCACACAAGATCCCACTAATGGTAAGAGAAAAAATGTTGTTGAATGAATGTAATGTAAACTGGTATTTTTAAGGTCCATGTGTAAGATTTAGGGGGAATTGGCAGAAATGGAATACAATATTCATAGCTATGTTTTCATTAATCCCCTAAAACTAAGAATCACTGTTTTTATTACCTTAAAATGAGCTGTTTATATCTACATACAGAGCAGGTCCTCTTCCATAGGGTCCACCATGTTGTTTCTAGGGCTGCCCCTGATGAAGAATTTTCCTCGTCAAGCAATATTCATCATTTATGTGACTGTGGATTGTAAATTATTAAAATATCATGTATATGTTATATGTATAATATTAAAATACAGTGCACTTCATGTCATGTTCAGGGGCTGCACAAAAGGTTTCTTAAGGCCACAAGCAGCCTGCAGGCCACATATTAAGCAACAATGCTTTAAAGCCACCCTAAACTGCATAATAATGTTCCAGTTTTTGTGTGGGTGTTTGTTTGTTTGTGTGTGTTGTTTGTTTGTTTGTTTGTTTGTTTGTTTGTTTGTTTGTGTGTGTGTGTGTGTGTGTGTGTGTGTGTGTGTGTGTGTGTGTGTGTGTGTGTGTGTGTCTCTTCAGAGCAGTATTCGTTCCAGCTGAGGTGTCACATGTATCAGGCTCGTGGTCTCATAGCTGCAGACACCTCCGGACTGTCGGACCCTTTTGCTCGAGTCACCTATCTGTCACACAGCCAAACCACCAATGTAAGTGTGTGTGTGTGTGTGTGTGTGTGTGTGTGTGAGTGAGTCTAGGATACTGGTTCTTTAGCCACCTGGGTTAGAGGTGCACTGGAAATTAAACTATTTGATTCAACTGAAATTTTGTGTTAAATAAATAAAACAATTACAAATATAAACAAAGTTATTTTTATGCAAATAAATAATTACATATTTTTAAATAAATAAATACATAATGAATATGTAAAATAAATAAAAATAAAAAGAAACATACTTGTAAAAAATGATCATATTATCACGGCCGAAGCCTTGAAACGCCAGCCCCCTTTGGAGAACACAGCCTCCGCCCAGGATTGACCCCGAAAATAAAAAAGGAAAAATAATAAATGAATGCCCGAAGGAAAAGCCGTTCCAGCTCAGCTGGGCACTCCCTGTCTAAGCTGAGAAAGCCGTTCCACGTTACACAATATACACTCACGGTCACGGACATAAACACGAATGGTAAAAAAAACTGCAAGATCCCGGACGAGCCCCCATTTGTTATGTTCCAACTTGTCTAGGAAGTTTCAGGAGTAACCTTAATAATTAAATAAACAATACATACCGGAGAGGGAAAAATGAAGCGCTGGTAGGATTTATGTAAGCCAAATATTTTATTAACTAAACAAAAAAAAAAAGTAAACACGAACACAAAACAATCCTCCAAAAACTGAGGATGATAAGAACTAACTATAAACTGAAAACAGTCCACTCAAAAGGAGGGACGACAATGCACAATCAATACCACTCAGAAAACACCGGATCTTAGACACTAAACGGAAAATCACTACACGCTAACACACTGCTAGGAGGTACACTAAAACACGTGGTGGTGAGACAGTTCCCAGGAGCACTAGCGGTCCACTGACAGCCGGCGGCCTCGGTCCACTCTCCCTTTATCCTCTACCTGATTGGCACCAGCTGCGAGGCACCATTCAGGGAACACACCTGCAACACGCACCTGTAACAAACACAAAGACACCCACACACACACACACACACCACAAACTCTACGGTACGTAACACATATATATTTATAATAATAAATCAAAAATAAATTATAAAGATAAATTACATTATTTAATTCAACTGGAATAATCTCTGTTTGAGGTAAATAAATAAAACAATCACATATAAATACAGAAAAAATAGAGCAATTTATATACAAATAAATAAATACATATTTTTGAAATACATAAATAAATATATATAAAAAGAAATTAAGATATAAATGTAAAAATAAAAAAACATGCTTACAGTTATTTTCTTTAAATTTATTTATTCTTTTATTTCTCTTTATATTTCCATTTTTTTTACTCATTTATTCCTTTTTATTTTTCCCACATTTAATTATTATCTTCATTTCTTCACAGTTAGAAGTTAAGTCATGGGTTCGTTTGACAGGTGTTTTGTAATTGGGTTGTACTGTACTGTACACTTGCAGTTTATAATTAGAAACTGCAAGTGCAAATTGTGGCTTTGAGCTATCACTGTTATTGTTTATTTGTGTGTTCATGGTGTGTGTGTGTGTGTGGGTGTGTGTGTGTGTGTGTGTGTGTGTGTGTGTGTGTGTTGCTCTCAGATCATCAGTCAGACTCTCAGCCCCACATGGAATCAGAGTTTGCTGATGACCCGCCTTCTGCTGAGCGGAGATCTGCAGCACATCCAGCAGGAGCCACCACGCATTCTCATTGAGGTGTACGACGACGACGCGCTGGTAATGCCACGTAGACTGATCGACAGCAGTCATTGTTACATCATACTGACTTTTTGAACTGAACCTGTGACCTCCTCTTTCTGATCTCCTCTCTCTGTGCAGGGTAAGGCGGAGTATCTGGGAGCCACAGTGGCGGTGCCAGAGGTGCGGCTGTCCTCTGAGCCCTACACACCTCCAACTCTGCAGTACAGCCCGCTGCACTGTGGCAGCCAAACAGGGGGAGACCTGCTGGCTGCATTTGAGCTGCTGCAGGTCAGTTACAGTCATCTCAATAACCACGTAGCTTCGACCATGACGATAATGAAGATACAGGTATAATGTAGAATAAAGCAAATATGATGATCTGTGATGAATGTGTAGATCACAGAGTCTGGAGAGCAGAGTCTGCCGGCGTTGGAGGAGCGGGAAGGAGGCATCTACGCAGTTCCTGCCAACATCAGACCTGTTCTCAGCACCTACAGGCTGGAGGTTAAAACTATGTATTTGTGATCTTGATTTTTAGATATTTCTCAGGATGTTATACCCAGCTGCATGAAATGGGAATGTTTCCCTCATGTTTTCCTTCAAAGTGACCGATAAAAAACATTTTCAGTATCATAATCTATGCCAGATGTATCTCTAACAAACCTTTGTGTGTGTGTTTGCTCCACCAGGTGTTATTCTGGGGTCTGAGGGAGCTGAAGAATGTTCAGTTCCTGTCTGTTGATCGCCCACAGGTACACACCAACACAGGTGACATCTACTCCAAACTGTGTGTCATACTCACTCACTCACTTACTCTCCATTTGACAGAGCTTTTCAACATACAGTGTATAGCACCCTTTTAAGCTCGGGTCCGCAACACTTTTTTTTTTCCATGTGAGGATTAGAACATATGCAGTCTAAAGTGATATATATTTTGAACGCTTAAAGGGCCAGTGTGTAATATTTGGCATGGTTTATTGTCAATCTGAATCTGAATCTGAATATTCTACCCATTAATATGTTTATACAAGTGTATGATCGCTATAAAATAAAATTTGTTTGGTTTTTGTAGCCTTATAATTATGCTTTTATATATATATAGCAAGGGCCTTGCTTTAGAGAGGTCACCATCTTGCGCCGCCATGTATGTACGGCAGACCGAGCGGACAATCCAGCCAGCCAGAGAACGCGTTTCGCGTGTATAAATAAACCAACGAAGACAGCGGAAGGAAGGAAGAAGGAGGAGGAAACAGCAGAGAGTGTTAGTAGTTCATCGATGGAGAGTAGTGAAAAGTTTTTTT